AAAGTCCAGACGCGCCTTAAAGACGACGGCAAGGTCACAGCACTCGCAGAAGCAATGCGCAACCTGCAGCTCAAGCATGGAAACAAGACGCTTTGCATCCGCTTCAACAAGACAGAGTGCAATGATCGCAATTGCAAGTTTGCGCATCTCTGCGCCATCCGCCTCGCCAACGGACAAGCTTGCGGGCAAAGGCACCCCGCAAGCCAGCACCGCTTCAAGTCGCAGGCAGACAAGCCCAGCGCCGCAGAACCCCCGGCAGCAGCGCCTGCAACCTGACAAACGCAGGGGGATCTAAGCAAGGGGGACCCTCGCAGCACGCCAAATGCCTTGCCGCATCCCGCGCCTCTCAACTCAGCAACGCAGGGAGACATCCCACCCTCCAGGGAAGAAGGCCTAGTCGACCCCAACCCGCACTCCCCTAACTTCCCGGCCCACCCGTGTCTGCAGCAGGGCCCCGCATAAGGGATAAGCAGCCTTCACGTAGCCCCAGCATCAGCAGCACTAGCGCCGCATCACACCCAGGCACAGAGCGCAGCTCCACAACGCAGCCCAGATCACGCACGCCCATGCCAGCACGCAAGTCAGCACAGCAACCTCGCCTTTTCTTGGACCTGTTCTCAGGTCAGCATGCACCCTTGACGCACGCGATGGAGCGCCTAGGCTGTGACTGCTTCCATCCCTTTGACATCGCATTCGCACCCGGCCTGGACATACTGAATGACTCACACTACCGCCTGCTCCTGCGCATCGCATGCAGCGGCATTGTAGGGGCCGGCTGGTCAGCACCGCCATGCAAAGAGTATTCGCGCCTCAGGCCAGGCCCGAAAGCACTTCGCACTCCTGAGTTTATGCAGGGAGTACCAGGCCTTTCAGACAAGGAGCTCCTCCGCGTATTGCAAAGCGCAGAGATACACGCACGCAGCCGCAGGGTCACCAGATGCATCCGCGAGGCAGCAGGCGAAGCAGGCCTGGAGCAGCCTCCCTCCTCAATGGCGTGGCTGGAGGAGGACAATGTCACCCTGCTGCGCGAGCTCTGTGCACATTGTTCGCACGTGGCGGCGTGCGAGCACGGGATGGACTACTACAAGTCCTGGGCCTTCTGCGCAAGCTTTGCATCCATTCGCACTCGGCATGCACCTGCCGCCACCCACCAGGCACGCGTAAGTCCATTGCAGGCCTCAAGCAAGAGAACATCCATGTCAGCGCACTGACGGCCGAGTATCCAGACAGCCTAGCCGCAGCCTTAGCAGTACTGTTGCAACCCTTCTGCACGCAAACAGGCATCCGCAGAGCCAGTATCTCTGACTTCGCCAACTTGCTCTGCGAGCCTGTCATACATCGCCGACCTCCAGTATGTGACGGCGCCGGCTTCAACAGCACAGCAGACCACACCAACCCAAAAGCCAGCGGCCCTTTCCAAGACCTCATCCAGCACTGGCAGCAATACGCCTCTCAGCATGACCTCTCTCCACACATCCTGCGTCACCTGGCGCAAGGCATCGACTCGCGCCCGCTCACACATCAACAGCAGCTAGACCTAGCAGAAATCGCACATAGATGCCTGCGCCCATCCTGCTCGCAAGCAGATTGCCTTCTCGTGACTCCCGGCCAGCCATTCCGTCTTAACCTCCTGCAAGCCTTTGCCGCGCGCGTGCAAGACCCTGACGCACAACTCACGGACCTGCTGAAGCATGGCGTCCCAGCAGGCATCCTTGACGAAATCCCGTCCAGCGTGCAATGGACACAGCGCCAGCACGACCTTGATGATGATGACCTGGAAGGAACACACTTGCTGCGCTGCCAAGGCAATTGGACGCAGGCAGAACGCAATCCGGTCCTTCTCCAGCAACTGGTCGAGCAAGAGGTAGCTAACGGTTGGGTGAAGCCCTTCCCCGCAGGCCGCAACGCAGTCGCACAACATTGGCCAGCAGGCTCAGCAATAGGCAAGCTCAACATAGTGACAGCAGAGGGGAAAGAACCGCGCCTCGTCCTCGACAGCGCGGTATGCAACGCCAACATCGCGTGCAGGGTCCCAGAAAAGGTCAGCTTGCCTTCCAACTTGGATGTGCGCCGCACTTTCAGCAGTGACGACGCATTCGGACGATGGGTCGCACTGTCTCTGGACTTCAAAGCCGCGCATAAAAGCATTAAAGTGCAAGCCAAGGAACATGGATGCTTGCTCTTTGAATCCGCAGGCAGGCTGTTCCATTACGTTGTCTGCCACTTTGGCGCCAAATTTAGCGCATATTGGTGGCAAAGAGCAGGCAGCCAAATGCTCCGCATAGTGCACGCACTTCTAGCAACTTTCAGCCACCGCGCATGGCTGTACGTGGACGACTTGCTAGCACTGCTTTGCAAGCACAGCGTGCCACAGCAGGTGACCATCATCACCTTCTTTCTCGCGTGCATCAACGCTCCCATTAGCTGGAGAAAAGCACAGCTTGGCAACATCGTCACATGGTGTGGCTGGACACTCCACACCGATCTAGAGTCATCGCACCTGGCCATAGGCAAGCTCCGCAAGCTTCAAGAGCAACTCGAGAAGTTGGCATGCTCCAAGAAAATACCCCGCAAGCATCTCGAGCGAGCCCTTGGCCTTCTCATGTGGGCCACTAGCACATGCACGCACCTTCGGCCACACATGGCCCCACTTTACAAGGACATGTACAGCGGGCGAGGCACGCTGCAACAAATACACGCCAGGGACTGGCATCGCCTCCTTGATGCACTCAGCCCAGACGCAGATGTGCAACGCCAGCCACTGGGCATGTGGCTCATCACGGGAGCACAGCTCACAGAAGTAGGATCCCAGAAGATCCAAAGCAAAGCAGACGTTCCCAGGGTCGTCTCTTCCGCAAAGCCGCAGTGGGTTCGCATGTCAGACCCCATGCGCAACGAGATACACCTCAGAAATGAGAGCCGCGCTGCGCTGCGATGGCTTTCGTCATGCTTCTCGCACGACCAGCTGCGCCTCATTCGCCAAGCTCCGCAACTGCACTGCATGGCAGCAGCAGACGCGATGGCAGAAGGCTCCACGGTCGGCATTGGAGGTTGGATTAGCGCATCGCAAAGCTTCGCATGGTTTTCTGAGCAATGGGACATGACAGAAGTCCGCAAGCACTGGCCGCAGCTTACGAAGAATGCGCAAGCATATATTGCATGCTTTGAGACGCTTGCTCAGCTTGCTCTCGCAATGACCGCAGTGGCACGCATGCGCACAAAGCACTTCCGCTTTACTTTGCCAGCCGCTTCGGACAACACCTCCGCAGAGTCAGGCATTAACCGCCTTTTCACCACCACAGAACCGCTCAGCACCTTTCTGCAAACAGTGGCCGCCTGGTCAGCCCATGCCAACGTGCGCCTCGCACTCACGCACCTCGCAGGAGAAAAGAATGTCTGGGCAGATGAGCTCAGCCGCAATCGCGCCGCAAGATTTCAGCACAGAGAGCACGAGCGGGAGCGCATCTCCCCCGCTAGCCTCTCTTCGCCTAAGGGTACCATCGCCCTTCATCCCCAACAGGCCGCCTGGCCTGACGAGCTAAGACAAGCACAGTACCCTCCGTGACGCAATCGCTGCAGAAAAAAGCGCATGTCCACCTCTTGCACTTACACCAAGTGATCACGCCTCTAGCACATTGTCTGCAGGTACCCATGCCCCTCTGACGCGGAAGGGGCAAGCAGTGAGTCGGCACACAGAGTTGCGCGGGAACCTAAAGTAGGGGTTTCAGTTCTACTTACGCACCGAACATTTCCCATGCAACTCTTGCCAAAAAGAAGGACTTGTCCGAGTCTTGTGCGAGTGAGGGCCATGCGTAA